CCCCCCATTACTTTCTGAGTGGGTTTTTGATACACGTGATTTACCAAAAGTGCGTTCCTAAAGTAGGTAACTGAGTTTTAAAATGTGATTCACCAAGCATGCTTTTTTTTCCTTTTAAAAATAAGTAACAGGGTTTTGAAATGTGATTTACCTAGAGTCCGTTCTTTAAGTAACCGGGTTCTAAAATGGAAATTACCAAGAGCGCGTTCTAAAAAATAACTGGGTTTTAAAATGTGATTTAGTGACAGTGCATTCTAACTCATCAACGTTTCATTGTTGTGCAACAAAAGATCCTTGGTTTCAAATTAAGTATACCATGCCATGACAAGTTAACGATACACTCAGGCAATGGTCTGTCTCAGTTTGATAGAATTAGAACATGTTTTTTTTCCATTACAACCAGAGTCTACATAACAAGAGGGTCCACTCCTCTCTTCGAGCCAATTAAAAAAGTGTCCTCAAAATTCGGTGGCGCCCTCTTCGCAAATGCGCACCCTTTGGGAACAGAGTTACCCTATTTGTGTTAAAAAACCAACGTGAAACTAACAAGTTTTTGAATAAATAAGAATTCAAATTTCGGAAGAATGCATTTTTAAAATGGTCACGCTGACAAAAAAAAAAACACCTCTTCCGGAAGAGGTTACAGTTTTCTTCTTTTAATTTGACTTTAAAATGAAAGGAGAGAGTTCATTAAAATTTTAAAAAACCCTAAAACTCCCCACTGAACGAACCCGAACAGTTGATGAACAGAGGTCGATCTCCGCACGCAAGGAGGTGCTATTCCTATTCTTCTTCTGGAGAAACGAAAGAGAGCTTCAAAACAGACTGCAGCGCCATCTGAAGCAAAGAGCGGACTTCCGGCGGACACTTTTTTGGCTGAGAGGACCATCTTGTTATGTTCTATCTTTGTTACAACTTAACGAGTCGCTGCCCTAGAATTACTACGCTCTATCTTTTCAATACCTAGATCTATATCAAGCTTTGAGAAATTTGACGTAAAAAATTGTACGTTTCACATGTCAAGTTTTTTCGAATGTAATTCTTTGAACAGCTTGATAACAACTCCGAATAATCTTACGATTTTGATAGACTAGATAGAACATACAATGTAATTTGGTTTCTGACCTCATGTTTTCAGTAACCCAAAAACAGTAAAAATCTTAGACAAAACTTTGTAATTCTGAAGTAGCAGAGAGAACCGTATCAACACTGAAGGCTTGTTAACGAAGGAGAAGAAGGAGACGGACAAGGATGAGGAGGAAGAGGAGAAGGAGGAGGAGAATCAGGAGGAGGAGGAAAAGGTGGAGTGAGGAGGAGGAGGAAGAGGAGGAAGAGGAGGAGGAGGAGGA